CCAACAACCTGAGGATCACCTAAACTTAACTAGGTCATAACCTAGGTCATGAATTTAGATTATAAATATCAAAGACCCAAGACTAATCCTCTTAATACCCCACTACTTTCAGCCTGCCAACTTGCAAATGCTACCTTTATACTAATGGTCTGTTTTCTGTCCATTAACCAATCAATCCATTCTAACATGTTACTCCAAACACTATAACCCCTTGTTTTGTACAATAGCCTCTAATATGACATCTTTTCAAATGTCCATTCAATATCTACATAACTTCACATCCACAGTGTTTTCCTTTAGCTACCCTAAACAGTCATAGCTTTATCAGACATGATTCCCTTTTAATATGACAATGCAGACTACGTAATGAGGTCTCCTTAGTAACACCTCCTTAATAGATTTCAGCATTGTTTCACATGTGTCAGCCTAACTGGCCTGAAGTTCCATTTTCCTGCTCTCTCCTTTCTTAATCAGCAGCATTACATTTGCTACTTAAACAATCCAGTTCGGATTGTTTATGGAAATTTTACAATTCCACAACCAATATATTCACTATCTCTGCAGACGCCCTTTTTGAACGCTAGGTCATTCGGTCTAGGGAACCTGCCAACTTTTAGTTCCATTAAAATGTCTAGTTAGTTTCCTCTATGAATATTAATTATTCTTTGTTCCTCAGTTGAATTAGCCCTTTAACATCCAACTACTTTTGGTGTGCTTTTTATGTCTTCTCCTCTGAAGGTACATACAAATTTATGCAATATTCCCATTATAATTTCTTCCATTTCAGCTTCAAAACAGCTTTACTTTAATTAGTCTCTTCCTTTCTATATGCTTGTAAAGCATTGCATTTTTTAAAACTATTTCTTGTACAGTTTATTTTCATTTATTTATTCATCAATTCTTTGGCTGCTCTTTGTTGTTTCTTAACACAGCTGAATAGAACATGGAAAATAGAACTGTACACCATAAGAATGGGCCCTTCAGGCCACAATATTGTGCTGAATCTAACGCCAAATTAAACTAATCCCTTCTGACTGACCTTGGTCCATATGCCTCCATTACTTGCATATTCCTGAGCTTATCTAAAAGTCCCTTAAATGCCCCTATCGTACCTGTCTCTAACGCCACTCCTACACTCTCTCTAAAAAAAAAACTTGTCCCTCACATTTCCTTTGAACTTTCCTCCTCTCACCTTAAATGCACGCCCTCTAGTTTTAGACATTTCAACTCTGGGAAAAAGATTCTGACCATCAACCTGATCTATGCATCTCACAATTTTACAGACTTCCATCAAAACTCCCCTCAGCCTCGGCCGCTCCAGAGAAAACAACCGAAGTTTTTCTAGCCTCTCCTTATACATAGCTCATACCGTCTAATCCAGGCAGCATCCTGGCAAACCGCTTATGCGCACTCTCCAAAGCCTCCACATCCTTCTTCTAGTGCGGCAACCAGAATTAAACACATTACCCTCAGTGTGGCCTAACCAAAGTATTATGACATCCTGATTCTTGTACTCAATTCTCTGACCAATAAAGGCAAACATGTCATACGCCTTCTTTACCACCATCTACTTGCATGGCTACTTTCAGGGATCTATGGGCTTGAACCCCAAGATCCCTCTGTGCTGTTCAGGGTCCTACCATTAATTGTACACTTTTCCTTAATATCTGATCTCCCAGTGCAGCACTCACACTTGCATGGATTAAACTCCATCTGCCATTTCTCCACCCATATCTGCATCTGATCTACATCCTGCTGAATCATTTGACAACCTTCCACACTATCCACAACACCATCAATCTTTGTATTCATGTGCAAACTTACTAACCCACCCATCTACATTTTCAATCATGTATGTATATCACAAACAGCACAGGTTCCGGTACGGATCCCTGCAGAACACCACTACACGTGGAACTCCAGCCTGAAAAACAACACTCCACAACTACCATCCGCCTATGGCCAAGCCAATTCTGAATCCATGCAGCCAAGTTACCGTGGATCCTAGGCATCTTAATCTTCTGGATGAGACTAGCATGACGGGCCTTGTCGAAAGCCTCACTAAAATCTATGTAAACAACATCCACTGCTCTATCCTCATCAAAAAATTCAATCAAGTTAGTAAGACAAGAGCTGCCCTGCACAAAGCCACACTGACTGTCCTTTATTAGGTGATGCCTTTCCAAACGTGCGTAAACCCTGTGCCTAATAATTCTCTCCAACAGCTTCTCAACCATTGATGTGAGACTCACCAGTCTATTGTTTCCTGGATTATCCCTATTTCCCTTCTTGAATTGAGGAACATTAGCTACTTGCCAGTCCTCTGAGATCTTTCCGGTGGCTAACGAGGATACAAAGGTCTTGGTCAAGGCCCCAGCAATCTCCTCTCTTGCCTCTCTCAATAACCTGGGATAGATACCATCAGGCCCTGAGGACTTCTCCACCTTTATGCTCTTCAAGAGTCCTAACACCACTTCTTTCTCGATCTCAAAATGCCACAGCATATTAGCATGCTCCACACAAATCTCACTATTCTCAATATCCTTCTCTTGGGTGAATACTGATGCAAAGTACTCACTTAGAATCTCACCCACATCCTCTGTCTCCAAGCACAAGTTCCCTCCTTTATCTTTAAGTGATCTTACTTTCTTCCTAGTAATCCTCTTATTTTTAATGTATCTATAGAATGCCTTGGGATTCTCTTTAACCCTACTTGCAAAAGCCATTTCATGGCCCCTTCTTGCTCTCCTAATTCCCTGCTCAAGTTCCTTCCTGCTTTCTTTATATTCCTCATGGGCGTATCCAGTTTTAGCTTATAAACCTTACATATGCTTCTTTCCCTTTTGACTAAATTCACAACCTCCCTCGTAATCCAAGGGTTCTGTACCTTGCCATCCTTGTCCTTCCTTCTTCCTGGAACATGCCAATACTGAACTCTCATCAGCAGGTTTTTAAACAATTCCCACAAGTCAAATGTGGACATGCACGATAACTCCCAATTAACTCTCCCTAGCTCCTGCCTACTACTGACGTACTTTGCCCTCCCCCAATTTAGTATCTCGCCACAAGTTCCTGACTTATCCTTATTCATAGTTGTACTAAAATTTAAGGAATTGTGACCACTATTTCCAAAATGCTCTCCCCAAGGAAAGTACAGGTTTACTAATCTTTGCAATATTATAATTCTCTTCTTTTAATCTAATATAAATCCTTAACTTTAGTCTACCACGGACTATTTAGGATGGATACCATGAAGATGTTTCTTTTTGTCGGGGAAACTAAACCTAGGGGACTGTTTAAGAATAAGTAGTCTCTCTTTTAAGGCAGGCTCAAGGAAAATTAGTTTCTCACGTGACGGTTATTTCACATGGGGAATTATTTTTCCAAGAAGGTAATGGAAGCTGGGACTTCATGACTAAACAAAAAACAAAGCTGTTCACAATTAAAAAGATGGCTCTCATATCAAGTTGCTTTTGTAGCAAGTTTGTGTATCATGTACGGGAACAGACACACCATATGCAAACAAGCTCCACATCTCACACTGGTGAGAATGATGGGGAGAGACCTATTTAGAGAGGTAAAGGCAAAAGAACAAAAAAAATCCTGATAGGTTTTTTGGCATGACAGCGAACCTGCTTGCATTGACACAGAAACAAGCCTAATGACAGAAGCTGAAGAACATCCATACTCCTCAATGAGAAAAATGAGATACCTTCTTGTCAGTAGTACAGTTTCCTAAATATGAAATCATATTGTGATTGTTCTATCTGACTAAGCCCTGTTCAGTTAAAGAAATCTACGTGACACTTGCCATTTGCTTAAACCTTAATGTTTTTTAAAAACATTGAGTGTCTTTTAGATATAGTTAATTCTCAGGGTAGTGTTATGTTAGACACTGTAAATGTTGATTTGAGCTGCACTCAGACAGAAGTATATTCAAGAGTGAACTATACGGTAAATGGAGAAGCCCTGGGGAAAATTGATGCACAGAGAGATCTGGGTGTTCAGGTCCATTGTACCCTGAAGGTGGCAACGCAGGTGGATAAAGTGGTCAAGGCGGCATACGGCATGCTTTCATTCATCGGATGGGGTATTGAGTACAAGAGTTGGCAGGTCATATTACAGTTGTATAGGACTTTGGTTCGACCACATTTGGAATACTGTGTACAGTTCTGGTCGCCACTTTACCAAAAGGATATGGATGCTTTGGATGGGTGCTGAGGAGGTTCACCAGGATGTTGCCTGGTATGGAGGGCACTAGCTATGAAGAGAGGTTGATTAGATTAGGATTATTTACATTAGAAAGATGGAGGTTGAGGGGGGACCTGATTGAGGTCTACAAAATCATGAGAGGTAATAGACAGGATAGATAGCAAGCTTTTTCCCAGAATGGGGGACTCAATTACTAGGGGTCACAATTTCAAGGTGAGGGGGGAAATGGTTAAGGGAGATATGCGTGGAAAGTTCTTTACGCAGAGGGTGACGGGTGCCTGGAACACGTTGCCAGCGGAGGTGGTAGAGGCGGGCACGATAGCATCATTTAAGATGTATCTACACAGATACATGAATGGGCAGGGAGCAGAGGGATACAGAACCTTGGAAAATAGGCGACAGGTTTAGATAGAGGATCTGGAGCGGTGCAGACTTGGAGGGCCGAAGGGCCTGTTCCTGTGCTGTAATTTTCTTTGTTCTTGTTCTATTTCAAGAAACTGATCCTAATGATAACTCCAAATACAAACTAAGAATCTTTCGTAGGTGTATTCTCTGGTACAAACATGACGGCAACTCCAATGTGCAACCTCTTTATTGGACAAAACTAATCTAAAGCAGACAACATTTTTTTGGTAAATGTGATGAATTTTAAAATTACTAAGATTGATAGTATTTCATATAGAGGCTAATTGTTTGAACACATTATCCAACATAAATTATAAAACAACACCAAGGTTGCATTCCAAGCTCAATTGGGTTTTGGAAAAAAGTCCATTAATTTCACTTACTGAGACCAGGTTCTCTTCAACAAAAGGAGTGAGCATGTGTGAACGAATGGTAACCATAATATCACTGAAGTCTAAAGCCACAATTGTGCCACTTTTGTTTTTGTCCTTTTGTGCAAAGGCTTGTCTTGCATGCTCTAGCTGTAGTTCCTGTAAAAGAGAATCATGCATGTAAGAAAAGAATCATTTCCCTCTCCGAATAGAGCCAACACTACTTGTGAAGATCGAAACAACACAACTTCTGAAAAGGACAATAACATTAATAATTAACTGGGAACAATAAAATCAGAATATTCATTCCTTTTCGTTCCATCATCTGTACCCATTATATTAATTGTAAATTAGCTGCCACCATATCAAACACTTGAAAGTTTATCAGAAATGTCTACTGCTCTTTTGACACTACCATTGTTTTACAAATCAAAAGCAGCATTATTAATGGCTATTCCTCACAGGCAAGGATGGTTCTCTTTGAGCCCAAAGTGGGCTACTGATTCTAAAATGGGCCTTTACAGTACATGGGGCATTTCTCATGCTATGTCTCACAGCGCAATACTCGTTCGAGTCATGACTTGTACTTTTCGTTTTTGCTTTCCTTCCTTTTTTGTCACAGTTGGGTCTCAAAATTTTGGGATCCTTGCCACAGACTGCCTCCATCTGGTTCGTAGTGACTGCTGAGGTTGCATTTCCTCACATTAAAAACAAAGTACTGCAGATGCTGGAATCTGAAACAAACACAGAAAATGCTGAAGAAACTCGCGTCTGGATGCAGCAGTGAAAAGAGTAACAGATTTAATGTTTATAGTCCATTATCACGTAGACTCAAAATGTTGACTGTTTCCCTCTCCACAGATGCTGCCAGACCTGCTGAGTTTCTCTAGCATTTTCATGTCGACTTTCATCATATCCTTGAAGGACTTTGTCTCTCCTTCTCTGGCGTGCCTTCCGCCAACTTTGCTGGGACAAAATAACCTGTTTTGACCTGGTATGTGACATCCAAACTATATGATCAACACAACGAAACTGATAGCAGATGGTGATTGCCTCTACGCTTGGGAGGCACCGATCATGCTGGTGCATCATTTTGCACTTCATATGCAAGATCTTCTGTAGGTTGCCTTGATGGCATGACTTCTGTTTTTGAAGTGCCTCCTATACATTGCTCTTATTCAGAACCACACTGTAAGGTAGGGTTATGGTTGAATGGTGGATTAATGTCTTAGTTTCAGATTTGATGTTTAAATCTTCAAACACCTGCTTCCACAGATGGCCAACGGATGTACCAACAGATTTCAGGCAAATCTGGGCTGCTTTGTCAATGTCAGCTACCTGCTAAAAATAACTTCCAGGTACTCATCAGGAATACCAATTAGTGGGGGTTCAGGTGTGTGTATTGGGAGCTCCCTAACGAAGAACATTGCTCTTCTGAATATTAAGCCCAAGTCTGCCCCGGCTTTGGTAAATACGTCAATGATTCTCTGGAGATCTGTTTCCAAAGCAGCTGTTGCTCAGCATCATTAGCATATTGGAGTGCAATACCTGAAGTCAGGCTGGTGTTACTTTGTGGCCTGCAATTAGATAGTTTACAGGCCATTCAATAAACAAACTGCACTCTAGCAGGGAACTTGTCTCTAATCTATGGATTAAAAAACCGAAGGCAATGACACAATCGTGTTTAACAATTGCGTTAATCTCAAATGTTTAAAGGATTAGTTGCAAAGGATCACTGCTCATGTACCATGAAAGATGGTGACAAATTTTGAAGGGCATCCACGCTTCAGCAGAATCTTACAGACTGGCACACAATTTACTGAGTAGAAGAGCTTTGTCAAGTTTAAAAAAAGTGCTTTACAGAAAGGATTATGTTGCTTGCGACATTTTTATGTTGGCGAGCTATGAAAATCATGTCCACAAAACGTGAAACAAGTGCATCAAATAAACCCTTACAGATGGCAGGCAAATCAGCAGTCTTTGTTTTGATGTTGTGACCATGAGTTTGAATTCGGCCAATTAATTTAAACGAAGCACCTAGATACGGAAAGCCAACTGAATTTAAATCTGATGGTCTTGCCAACCTGAAACCAATCATATTATAAGAATTTGATTGTCATAACGGGTATATAAGACAAAGGCATTTGGAAAATCAGAGAGAGCCAACTGCCATCAGAAAAAGGGAGACAACTGCCACCTGCCAAAGTTAGCACCTTTCAGCTCTCAGAGAAAGCCAGTCGAATTAATCAAAGGTACCACAGTATTTCAGCTCAAAGTGGTCATTGAAGAAATTATAGAGATAAAACATTCCTGACAGCAGAATTAATGGAAGAAAGGTATTTGTGAAGAGAGCAGAGACAGAATATTCCAGAAGACAGTCTGTGGAAACTTGGAGAAATTAAGTTATAACTTATTGTTCTTATTAATTGGGTTTATATTAGTGGGACTTGTCTTTATTTAAACACAATTCCAGTAGAATTTAGACTACTAACTACCCCCTAACTGGTCTAAGGGAGAATTGTCGGTTTGTTAGTAATTTTATGAATTTGTTCATTATTGGGTTAGATAAATTGCTTCTTGTTACGTGTAAAGTGGAAATCAGGCATTTTATTTCTTTTAACCATTCTTTTAATAGACTATGAGGGGAAAGGCAAGCTTCTCTGGGTGTTTAGGGGGTAATTATTAGAAGATAACCCCATCTCCTGTCAACATATTGGGGCTTGTGTTTTAGTTTAATTATCAGAGGGGTTCGGCCATTCCCCGTCGTAACACTACTGAGTACAGGCCAGAGACCTCACACTCCTCATATGACAAGGCCTTCAATCGCAGGATCCTTCATGTAAACCTCCTCTGGACCTCTCCAATGCCAGCACATCCGTCCTTAAATACAGGATGCAAAACTGCTCACAGTATTCCCAATGTGGTCTGACCAGGGCTTTATACTGCTGAGGCTGTATATCTCTGCTCTTGTATTCTACTTCTCTTGAAATGAATGCTAACATTGCATTTGCTTTAACTGCCAAATGAATCTGCATGTTAACCTTGAGTCAGTCCTGAACGAGGACTCCCACGTCACCTTGTGCTTCAGATTTCTGAAGCCTTTCCCCGTTTAGAAAATAGTGTCTCTATACTTCCTAACAGAGCGCACAACCTCACACTTTCCCACATTGTACTCCATCTGTCACTACTTTTCCCACTCTCCTGACCTGTCAAATTCTGACTGTAGCCTCCCCAATTCCTCAACATCGCCTGTCCCTCCACCTATCTTTGCATCTTCTGCAAATTTGCAACAATGCCCTCAGTTCCATCGTCCAGATTGTTAACGTATAACATGAATAGCTGTGGTCCCAACACAGACCCCTGAGGAACTCCATCAGTCACCAGCTGCCATCGTGAAAAAGACCCCTTTATCCCTACTCCCTGCATGGCTAATTCTTAATCCATGCCAATGCCTTGTCTCTACACCATGGGCTCTTATATTTAGCAGCCTCATCTTATCAAAGGCCTTCTGGAAATCCAAACTGATCAAATAGAACATATCCACTGGCTCTCCTTTGTTTAACTTCCTTGTTACCTCCTCAAAGAATGCTAATAAGTTTGTCCAGCATGACCTCCCTTTGACAAAGCTGCGTTGCCTCAACTCTATTTTATCATTTTCTTAGTACACTGAAATCTCATCCTTAATAATGGACACAAATCTTAGCAACAACCAAGGTCAGGCTAACCAGCCTGTAGTTTCCTGTCTTCTGCCTGTTTTTCTTTTTAAACAAGGGTATTACATTAGCCATTTTCCAGTCCTCTGGGACCCTCCCTCCAGCAATTCCTGAAAGATCACCACCAATACCTTTACAATCTTCCTCAGCTATCTCCTTCAGAACTCTGGGACGGGTGATTTATCCACCTTCAGATCTCAATAATATCCTGATCGTTCTTAGTAAATCAATCTGGATTTTCTACAAGGAAAAAAATCAACTGCATCTTTGCAGGCACTAATGATACTGGGTTCAAGGTCATATTAAAGACTAAGGACATTCATTTTCCATTCTTGACTAAAGGTAAAAGTTTTTACTCTCCCAGGTATTTTTGGAGACATGTTTTAAGTTGCATTCATTTTTTGGGAGCCAGTTTAATGGATATGATTAAATGAACAAGTAAGTGATCATTCCAGCAATCACCAGCTTCTGACACTGCTGTTGTAATGTGAATATGTTTGCAATTTCTAGCACAGACAGCAACTTGAGCAATCACGTGCTCGTGATAGATCGTGTGTACGGTCATATTCTCCACCTGTTCATCTGGTGGAACAGGATACTGGTGACAAGCTTACGTTCTATGCATTTGATGAGAAGCATGCCACTGGAGCAGGCATTTCCTATTCTTCCTCTGCCAATGGTTTCATTCCAGAGATTGTAACCAGGTCAGGTTAGGTACAGAAATCTTCCCTGGTTTTGTTGTCAGCATCTAGAGCTGCAGCATATGCACTGATCACATTGTCATGAGGCGGTCCTTGCTTTGTAGAGGGAATTCATGGAGTTTGTTGAAAATTTTGTTCTTGATGATAAAATCAACTGAGAACTCAAAGTTATTCTGATTTTCCCTTCCAGAAGAATGCAAACCTGGTACACTGTTCCTTGAACTAGTCATTTCTTTGCTACAGAACCTGAGAAATAAGAAACAGCTGCCTAAAACAGGGTGAAGTAAGTGTGACTCCGTAGGTCCTGTGCCACTTAAGTTACCATGAAGCCTTGTTGGAATCCCAGAAATGATCAGCAGAGAATGCCCTCACAAACAAGCTCTCAACTGCAGAATACGTGGAGAAAGATGTGCACTTCAGAATATCTCAACGCCTGTTGCAGCAGAATGAAAAACCTCTCGATACAAAGGAGTAGCCAGGATAAGACACATTTCCAAAAAAAAATTAGTCTAACAAGTCCATTGCTTGTTAATAAACATTAGCCTGACAGCTGGATTTTGGTGCAAATAACTTTTCTAAATGCAAAAGATTTTTAAATTGCAAGGTTTAATATCCAATTTCAAATTAAGGGCGGCACCGTGGCTCAGTGGTTAGCACTGCTGCCTCACAGCGCCAGGGACCCGGGTTCGATTCCCCCTCGGGGGACCGTCTGTGTGGAGTTTGCACATTCTCCCTGTGTATGCGTGGGTTTCCTCCCACAGTCCAAAGATGTGCAGGTTAGGTGGATTGGCCATTCTAAATTGCCCGTAGCGTTCAGGAATGTGTAGATTAGGTTGGTTATGAGGGATGGATCTGGGTAGGATGCTCTGAGGGGTGGTGTGGACTTGTTGGGTGAAGGGCCTGTTTCCACACTGTACGGATTCTATCATTCTATGAGCTTAAGGTTGACTGCTTCAAATGATGCAATTTCTTCAAGCTATATATACACAGGTTTAATCATTTTGATAATCAAGTGAATTTGAACAAGACTTCTCTAAGCATAGTTTCACGTTAGTTAGGAGTTAGAAATATAATCACCATTTGATCGGTGCTGCTTAATCAAAATCCTGGAGCTTTGTACCTAGTAGCATGCGAGGGTACCTACACAAAATGAACTACAGCAGTTCAAGGTAGAAGCTCAACATCATCTTCTGAAGGACAACTACGAATAGGCAATAAATACTGGCCCAGCCTTCGATACCTATGTCCCATGAAAGTTTTACATGAATTTACTCAAAGTAAGATTTTATATTTTTCTCTTTATATTAAAAGGAATACAAAAGATTTGAAAATATCCTGTTTAAGGTTCAAAAATCATAAAATATACAAGCAAAAGATGTATTAGTAGAAAACATTCAACTTATTAATTGCTTACTTTGTATGATAAAAAAAAAATACAATTAAGACAAGGAGGCAAAGACGAGATCATTTGGTGAGGATAAGTGGGAAGACTGAATACAGACATACATCTCATATGTGTATCAGATCAAATAATGTTCTCCACCTGGCTGTAGCACAATTGGTCAACATTATTACTTGCCTGCAAAAACTGTGTAAATTCGGAATATGAAAGATTCTTTTTCCTGTCAAAGCCAAAGTGCAGCCGAATAAACTCACAATCCCAGTTGAAAGGAATATGATGATGTATAATTGTCTGGCTGAAGATCTCTTTGATGTTTTCTAAGAATAATTTTGAGAAGATGGTTAGGACATAAAGAAAATACCCAATAATAATTACATGCAATAGCCTGTTAAAAAGTTACAATATGTCTAGGCAATAGGTAAATCTGCGCGTGTCATTAACAAGGTCATTAGCACATCAATGAAAGTGTCTGTAGAAATAAAAGCCGAGCCCTTAATAAATGAATGGTTAAAATCCCAACATAGCAAATGATTTGCCACATTGTATTTATTGCCACAAGATCAGAAAATTACCTCAATACTCCTGCTGACAGTGCCCAATCAAATCATTATTAGTCAAGTGCCCATTTATCACATCCTTTGTAATATATTCTAGTATTCAGTGCAGTGGGCTTTTCCCCACCTCCAAGCTGGGTGGCCTGTGTTCACGTGTTGACTGAACAGCTGGTTTACAATGCAGAGTGACATTAATAGCACAGGTTCAATTCCTTTACATGCTCAGGTTACCATGAAGGACTCTCCTTCCTAATCTCTGCCCTCACCCGAGGTATGGTGACCCAGCAAGTTAAACCATCACCAGTCATCTCTCTCTAATGTGAGAGCAGCCCTTAAGTCTTTTAGGATGACGGCGACTTTACCCTTTCCCTTACTAACCCCATCACTGATTATCAACACAACACCACACCTCTTGTCCACCTGTCCTTCCTAACTTACAAATACAAGCCGTCTCCAATTTACAAATATCCTACTTACAAACACTCATATGTACAAATGAGGTGCCATACAGGGCTACGTTAATTTTAAAGATCTGACACACAAAACGTTTCCTTGTACTTACGAACGGCTATTTTAGACTGTCATACATTATGTTCCAACTTGAATATAAATCAGCTTGCAAACGTACTTGAGAACGGAACCTGCTCACAACCCGGGGACTGCCTGTATCCTTGAATCCCCAGTTCCCCAGTCCTGGTTACTCTGCAACAGCTTTTAGATCATGCTTCTCTTTGTGCCTTTAAATCACCAATCAAGTTGTGAATGCTGAGCACGCTTTCAGGTCAGGGTGCCTATAACATTACTCTGTATTCTAAATTTGGCGGATGCTCGGCTTCGTTTTGCCTACCTCCTAATTTAATTTATCACTTTTCCATTTCTTGTTATCAGCTTTACTTCTTTCTAATTTAGCTGTCCATCAAGCTTCTACCCCCATAACAGGCTACGCCAAATCATCACCAACAGCACTATCAAATCCCCATGAGGAGAGATCAGTCTTGGTACTATTGAGGTGTGAGCTTCTTGGGTGATACAATTTCTACCTAGCCCACAACAGATTTATGTCCTCACAAATTTTATGTAGGCCCATCTTTAATCAATAGATCCTTTTATTTCTATGCTTGCTGGTAAGTGGCACTGGGAGTAATCCTGAAATTACAGCTCTTGCTTTATAAATTCTTTTACCACTCCCTAAAATCAGGACCAACCTGATCCCTCTTCTACCCATATCATTTTTAAAAAATTCATTCATGGGATGAAGGCATCACTGGCTACGCCAGCATTTATTGCCCATCCCTAATTGCCCTGAGGGCAGTTAAGAATCAACCACAATGCCATGGGTTTGGAGTCACATGTAGCCACACCAGGTAAGGATGGCAGTTTTCATCTAAAGGGCATGAGATGGGTTTGTCCAACAACTAACAATAGATTCATGGTCAGATCTTTATATTGAGTTTAAAATTCTACCGTCTGCCACGCCGGATTTGATCCTGGGTCCCCAGAATGGACAGAAAAGGGGAGATAGTGTCACTGAGAGGAGTGGGTGAGGTGAGACTAAGTTTTACATTAATTTAATAATTATTCTAAAGGATAATAAATAGTTTCAGAATTATGCGATGACAAGTCAGCAGGGACAAGTGTAATGTATATCTGGGCAAGCGATGTGTCTCAGAGCAAAAAAAAAGGGCGGCTCAGCGGTTAGCACTGCTTTCTCTCAGCACCAGGGACCCAGGTTCAATTCTAGCCTCGGGTGCCTGTCTGTGTGGAGTTTGCACATTCTCCCCGTGTCTGCGTGGGTTTCCTCTGGGTGCTCCAGTTTCCTCCCACAGTCCAAAGATGTGCAAGTTAGGTGGATTGGCCATGCTAAATTGTCCATAGTGTTCAGGGATGTGTAAATTAGGTGGATTAGTCATGGGAAATGCAGGTTTACAGGAATAGGGTAGGGGTTTGGGTCTGAGTGGGATGCTCCTCGGAGAGTCAGTGTGGTCTTGTTGGGCTGAATGTCCTGCTTCCACACTGTGGGATTCCATGATTACCTGGGTCTCTGGATTAATAGTCCGGTGATAATATCATTAGGCTGTAACCTCCCTCATGATCTCTGACTGATCACCTCTCCTAGAAGGATATCCTGTGCCACTCAGTGACATCCTCAAAAAGAACTGATACTTTTCAGGCATGACTTTTTTTTTGTATAATCACGTGACTTTGTCTTATCACACTATGATTTTCTAAGTTCGTTGTTAAAGACTTCCTTCATAATTGATTCCCAGACTGTACTGATATCAAACTAACTGGCTGGGTTTTATTCTGCCTTCTTTCCTGAATGGCAACTGTTTCATTACAAATTTTCTGTGAACTAATAGAAAATAGTTTGCAAGTCCACTGGGAATGCTCTAAAATCCTGGCAAGTTTGGAAGTCATAACCTGCAATTCCACTATCTTGCAGCTACCTCTTTTAGAATCATGTCCAGGGGATTAGTCGGTCATCAGTTCCTTAAGTTTGTTAAATATATTGTCTCTGCTCATACTAATTACATCTGGTTCCACATCCTTTATAGCCCCTCAGTGGCCCTATATTTCAGGCATGTAACCTGCAAATTCTAATGTGAAGATAGGCATGAAATATTCGTGCAATATCCCTACGACTTCCTCATTCCCCATGATAATTTCTCCAGTCTCTACCTCTAAAGGGACTAATGTTTGCTTCAGCTACTCACTTTTACAGATTTCTTCTAGCTCTTACTATTTGTTTTTATATTAAGGGATACGGATTCGCCCTATCATCATTTTTGGTGGCCTTTGCTGGTTTCTGAAACATTTCCAATCCTCAGGCTTGCCACTATTCCGAATAATACTCTTTATTGCCTTAGGAAGCACCAGATGGATTTTTCTTGCAGTGTTTTTGCTTTTTTAATGATTTTTAATGCATTTTTGCTGAACATTTGTAATTGATTCTTTTTAGTCTATTTACCAAAACAATTTTAACTTCAAGATTCTTGTTTGCGATTGATACATTGATACATTGCTCTCAAAGTTAAAATGACAAACTGTATTATGTTCACATCTTCCAAAAATCTTTCATTATGAGATAACATATTTCATAGAACCCCTACAGTGTAGAAACAGGCCATTTGGCCCAACAAATCCACACTGCCCCTCCGAAGAGCATCCCACCCAGACCCAGTCCCCTACTCCTGCATTTCCCATGTCTAACACACCCAACCTAAACATCCCTGGGCCCTATGGGCAATTTAGTATAGCCAATCCACCTAACCCTGCACATCTTTGGACTGTGGGAGGAAACTGGAGAACCCGGAGGAAACCCATGCAAACATGGAGAGAATATGCAAACTCCACACAGACAGTCACCTGAGGATGGAGTGGAACCCGGGTCCCTGGCGCTGTGAGGCAGCAGTGCTAACCAGTGAGCCACCGTGCCAGAATATGGAAAATTGGAACATAGAACTATTTGGACATTTCTGCATCCATTCAGTTATCATATAATTTCTTAGAAAGTAAAAGTCAAAAGGTCAAACAGAACAGCGGATTATTTTCTTTCTCCTGGAAAGGTAAGTAATTTTGGAAGAAGTGTCCATCGGAGCTTTAAAAAGACATGAGAGATGAATTTTAAGATTCTTAATTGCTGGCCAAACAGACACGGAAAAATTCAAGGATTTATGCTATTTCAACAGCTTCTGGATTGTGGAGCTGTGTGTATTCACAGACCTTATTGAATGTTGATAGACAGGCATGTACCAGAAAGCAGTTCTCTTTTTTCAGTCAGTAAGGGACGAACCTGAAAGTAAAATTCATTAAAATCTCTCTCAGGATAACAATTCAAATATGAAGACTCCTAATTATATCCTATCTGAATCTAGACTCTGGGCTGAAGATCTTTCTTCATTTTGCAACTGCCAACAGGCGGTTACCACTGTTGCCTCACAGTGTCAGGGACCCAGGTTTGACTCCAGCCTCAAGTGACTGTCTGTATGGAGTTTGCGCAAACTCCCCGTGCCTGTGTGGGTTTCCTCCAGATGCTCCGGTTTCTTGCCGCAGTCCAAAGATTTGCAGGTTAGGTGGATTAGCCATGCTAAATTGCCCTGTTACGTCCAGGGATATGTAGGTTAAGTGGTTTAGCCATGGGATATGCAGGGATATGGACATGGGGTGGGGGGGTGGGATGCTCTTCAGGAGGTTGGTGCAGACTCGATGGGCTGAATGGCCTGCTTCAACACTGTAGGGATCTATGAAACAAGTTGGTCTTATTGATTAAGGGGCCAAAGGATCTAAGAGAGGTCGACCCAATCTATCTTCTGAATCTGTGCCCTTGACTTAGCAATTATTTTTTTCCCTTTTTTGCATATATCATTCCAACTCATATTTATGTCAGCAGAGCTGTGTAACTTGTCTTCATATGAATGGATGTGTTTGAGATCCAGGGGAAAAGTATACTTCTGAAGTGTAGCTTAGTTGTTAACCATTTTTGCAACTTAGTTATAGTTGTTGCTTATAATAAAGGAGTTATTTTTGACTTTGTTAAAACCACCGGATGGATATTTCTTTTACTCTGGTAGTACAAAGGAGACAAATCGACTATTTTGGTGATTCAATAAGACATTCACACTTTTGGTATAGCTCATGGACTAAGGGGACTTGATTACTAACGTACCACTCCCATCATAGTCGCTGTGCTTCGTTTCCATGTGGGCCACAACAACACTGATCCTCCATCTCTCACTCAGTTGTCTCCAGCTGTAAAGAAGTGTCCTGAAACCCTTGCTCTGGACAGACCATACAACTTCAAAACTGTTGATTGCAACTAGAGGAAGCAACCTCTATCCCTGGTTGACTCCACCAGCATATTCCATTTGATGTTCTGCCCAGCTTAATAGCATCCAGCACCTTACTTCGTTTGTGTCCTACAATTCTTGTTCTCATACAGAGAGAAGGCAAGTATTTTGTACCTGTTGGTCAGAGTCAAAAGCTGAGGCTCCTCCATTACTATGTGTGAGATCCCCAAACCTGTCCAAGTCTCAGTCAGTCTTACTTTTCTGTCACTGATATTCAATCAACTTCAAAATTTCTACTTAACCCCAGGGCTGTAACTGCCAATCAGGTAGCTCTCCTCCCTCCCATCGTCCACAATTATATTTACGTCTGCTGGAAATCCTCTCTGCTCTTCCTCCTCAATGTACCTCCCTAAATGAGCACTGGAATTACATTCTTTAGTTCTTCACTCTCATGATCCATTCTGCCAAACCATCAACCTCGTTTCTTGTCTTTTATCTTTCATTTTTACCCAGGTTTTTCTACTTTCTACTAGACTTTCCTGCATATACTACTATTGTGGTCATCCACTGTCATCTGTCTCTGTTGGCCAGTAAACTACCTGTGAATCACTTAGATGGATGCAAAAAAAAAGTGCTGATTGTTGTTTTTCTAGTATGGTAGATCATCATGTGTATTAAAAGCAGTTCTGGGTTCTAATCATATACTAATTAGTATAGGGTAAAACCCTTCAGCCATCTAAAGCAACGTTTTGTATGTACTGCTCATGCCAGTGCTGTTTGTAACTTAGAGTTCACCTGATCTGAAGTATTTGTGCAAACATCTAATCAATTATTCTACAGTTTCTTTCACACAAGCCATTGCTTTCTACAGCAGTATAAGTTCTCATAAGTGTTCCAAAATTCCTTTGCAAATCCAACTCCAATATCCATTTAGAATTTTGTTGGTGAACCAAGGCTTGTCCTTTTCCATGACTTTGTTCACTGCAGTCCATCTGTCCACATTATTTATCATGGATATACTAAACCTGGTCTCCAAATCTATAAAATGTAACAGATAGGCATATCAATAATTGTCCCACACCTTTCGCTCAACGGCTACTACTACTGCCTGTACAGGTCAAATAACATTTCCTTCAGCTCTTGACAACAAATTCCCAGTTTCTCAATAAATAATAACAACATTCCTTGGCTCCTAAATTTTAAATTTAGCTTGCCTGTTTGAGGACACATCAATTCTGTAACACCCTTGAGATTTCTCATCTCCCCTTTTGCAGGAGCCTGTCCACCATCCTTGATGAGATGGCTGAACAACCTGTTGTAAAATAATTAAGCCAGTCCTGGTGCAACACTAGAGTCCTGAAGACTGCAATAAATCAACCTACTGCTTCAGCCGTTGTCACAATGAAGGTCCTGATTCACGGAACAAACAGGATATTTCACTGCTCACCACTATGACATACAAGACACAAATTTGCCGTGTACTTAGATGACAAGTAACAGCCTCTGGTTGCAAAGAATATTACTTGATGGGTAAAGAGAATCTTGATAACAAGTAAAGATTAGGGTTAAATTCAGACGTATAAACTACAGCTAATGTTTGCTTAAGTTTTGAAACAGTACTCAAATTGTTTTTTTTATGAATAATGATGCTTACTCCAAGGAATTCTCCACATTCAAGGTAATAGAACTTTTTTATTCCATTATATATAGTTGTACATGCAGTCTGTACTACCTACATTTAGATCGAAGTGGGTTGTTATGAACACACATTCAAATACTGATAACAACATGCCTGCAGATTAAACACTGCAATGGGAGGAACAATAACAGAGTGTAATAACATCAATTAATTTCAGTATTCCATTTATACTGTATCTTACAGTGCTTACCAAATGATACTTCTCCCTTGCCATTCTTGTCAAACAGCTGAAAAGCCACAATAAACATGGCATCAGGAGCACACAGAACAGATTCAAATGCCAGAAACTCTTGAAAGGAGATCAACCTATAATTGCAATGCAGAAGTTAACAAAGAAGGCTCATCAAATAGAGAGATACTTGAACCAAGTTGTTTATTTATTTCATAATAAACAAGGTCAGAAAATCACACAACATCAGGTTATAGTCCAACCTGGCATTGTGTGATTTCTGACCTTGTCCACCCCAGTCCAACACCGGCACCTCAATATCATAATAAACAGTACACTTAAATTCATTGTTGACTTTACTCGACCTAAAGATGTCTATACTAATTTGACATTGCCAGAATTACATTTACAAATCCACCAAATACACAATTAAAGAAATATCAACAACTCATGCTTCCCATTAGGATTGGGTGGTGAGTGAGTTGATCACATTACAGCAGAATTCCTGCTCATCTGCAGCCTGATCACCAGTACAAATGATACATTGAGTCAACAATTCAACATTTCAAGTTGTCAGAAAATAGATTGAGAAAGAGGTAGAAATGGCTGGATTACAAATTTCAGGTTTTTCCCCCAATAATACATTCATGGATGCATACAAAATAGTAAAAATGCAGCTAACCACTTCTCTAAATATTTTAAACTTCACAGCAAGTGCCCACATAAACTACAGTGGCAGACTAGTGCAAGCAGTCAGATTCTCAGAAAAGACATTTAATTGCTCCTTAATTCACTTTTGAATAGACAATATTTAATCAAGAACTTATTTCTGAAAAAAATATATGGCTTTATTTTCCCAAAGCAGAAACAGGTTTTTCCAAGTTTTTCACTCTAACCAGGGTCATGAATCAACATTGTTTGGCAGGGTGGGAGACAAGCATTGGACACTTTTTGATATTTATATGTTATTACTGATCCTGACCACAGCAGTTCACACCATTAGTTATTAAATAATTTACTGACCACGACAGAGCACTTATAGTTGTAAAGCTGCACTTCTTCATTATGTCGGTTTCCATCTGCACTATTCAGTCGTTACTTCGAAACTTAAATTGGGTGGTTTTTTGACAAAACTGGTTTTCAGTTCACTTAACTACATCATAATCTATCCTGCAGTATGGAACATACCCTCTTAAATAGTCACCTGTCAGACAAAGCTGGGCTGGCTGCCTGCTTACGACAAACTGCTGCTGAATCCTAACTCTCAGTTATGGCAGCCTTCACAAACCTTGGTCTTCCTTTCAATCAACACATGCTGATTTTCGACATCCTGTTGCACTGATATAAAGCATATGTCAGAATTCTTCACTTTAAAATAGCAGCACTAAACTACACTTCAACAAAAACTTATGGAAAAGGTAGTCACATTTCACCGATATGGGACTGCTAAAATATTATTGGTATTGACTATACGCTATACGGTATATTCCCCAATTATTTTCTAGTATTGATATGATTTTTTATTAAAGCAATACACGTTGTAGTGCTTCAATTTTGAATTATCTATAACAATAAATATTGGCAGTTCAGGTAATCAATGAACAGATACTAAGTTGATGGCAAAAATATGTAGCATTACTCCCAATTTTAAAGAAGTGCCAGATTAAGCACAAATTACACAAATATTGTCAAAAGTGACAAGAATGTCCTAGAACCAAACATACCATACGAAATTATCAGATTTTTGTGCAAAAACATATTAGACCCTTTCTGTTCATATTTAACCACAGCACATTATAAAGAACTTGCTTTGCCAAGGAAAATCAGTACTCTCCATTTCTTTTACATCAACTTCTTAAAATTCTGGATGTAGTCAACTAAATGAATATTGAATTGATGACAGAAAATAAAGCAATCTCTCTCCATATTCAGACTGCCAGGAAAAAAATATTGTTCACAGTAGCCGAATTCATTTTGATGCATTTACAGCATAATTTTTCGACTTCAGTTTTCTAGTGAAGAGGTTTCTGCTTCAAATCAACATAGAATAAAAACTTTAATATGGATTAAAGTACTGAGACATTCCTTGAGGAGGTACCATCTCACATCTTCATACTGGTCCAACAGTAACTCCAATGGAGTCAGAACAATTGTGATATAATGCAGGAACAGGCCCTTGCTCTTCTCAGAACCATATTAACCTACCCGCAATAAATGAACTTGGTTAGCAAGTATCAACTATACTACTCTCACTCTTTTCATATCATACTGGGCAGTGAGGCAGGCCCCAGGAATAGCCCCTCAGCTGGGACAGGGAATGAACCTGCATTGGTTACATTGCCCTGTTGCTCCAGGTGGCCAAATGTCAGGAAACATTAAACTACTGGTACAGCACAAGTGCACATGTACGTAAGTGGTAACAGAATCTCTGTTAGCCATCAGAGGGCATCAACAAAGTGTATCCAAACCAGAAGTCAATGGGTTTGTATGGACAGGAAAGAAACAAAGAAATACTGTATTATAAATATTGTACAGATCAGTAAAATGTATTAGAAATTTCTAGTTTACAAAAAATTGAAGACATTTGTGATTGAAGCAATATTATTAAACTCTTTATATATTGGACTGTGCATTAGCTCTGTTTTTGTGTCCAAGCATAATTAATTACTAGTTTTCTGACAAAATATAGCTCTCAATTAAGGTCTGACATTTAGTTTAAAATTCTGTTTACTTCCTGCTACCATTACGTTAAGCTGCATTGTTATCTTCAGATTCAACTAAATTATCAATGACTCTCCAGCTTGTCTTTATTCTGTACCGAAAAGTTAATTTAACACTGTTTGCTTCAAATTTCATTCATCTATCTAGGAACTGATTATCAAATAAAATTTTCAATCAATTCCCTCATTGTTATGAATTGCAATCAATGTAAATGGGATATTAGCCTTTACGGCAAAGGAGTTACACTAAAAGACTAAGAATGTTTTTCAGCAATTATATGGACCTCTAATAAGACCACACCTGAAGCATTGTGTATAGTTTTGAACCCCTGACCCAAGGATATACTTCTGGCTTAGAGATGGTACATGGAAAGCATGCAAGATTTATTCCTAGAATGAAAAGAGCTCAAATAGAATCAGACTCATAGGAGTTTAAAATATGAGAGGTGGTCTCATTGTTTTTGGACATTTCATTCTTGAAAAACGTTACAAACTAAATGTTGAGAAGTTGGTTCCCTCTGTTGCAGAGTCTAGAACAGGGCTCTCCAACCTTTTCACCTGGGGCCACATTTCAATAGTTCTCTCACACAGTGGTCTGGGGAAGTGAGGGGGAGGGGATCGGGCAAGGACAATGGAAGTTGAGCAAGTTAAGATTTACAACAGTAATCATGAACTTCAAAAAAGTCCAAGACAATTAAATCGATAATTTAGATGAGTAATTAAAAATGACCAGTAAAAATGTGCTCAACAGCTGAATAATAAAAATATTTCCTACCCCTTCTCAGTTCAGAAACTAAGACAGAGACAGAATAAAACTAGGCCACAAGCCCAAATAACTCAGGAAAGCAGTGGGAACCAGGAACAAACTTAAGAAATGGATTTAACTAATGCCAACTTTGGTTTGCATCTTGTGGCACAAACACTGTGCTCACGTCAGCAGAATCCAGACAAGAGTGGGGGTTGGAAGTGGGTTGTCCTTCAGCCTGAATTTTCCTCCCCTCATAGCCTGCTTTGGAGAAAAGGCTTTTGGGGAAGGAAATTGTAAGAACAGCTCAAACAAACACGCACACCCCCAGATGCACTCAACCACAATGGCACACCAACTTGACAACATGCCTATGCCTACTTGCTTGCCAACCTCCCCATGCTTACTCAGTAATTCACTCACCAATCCACCCACAGCCAAGAGGCTGGCTGATTAATGTCACAGAGGAGATGTGTGGGGCAGCTGTCCTGACCAACCATATATCCTGATCAACAATCCCAGCAATCAGGGGACATCATGTCAATGCAATGACAGCTGCTTTTGACCTCCCCATAACCACTCCTGCAAAGTTCTGACTCTTGTACCCTTGTCCACCTGGCAGCCAGTTGCCTGGCTCTCATTTCTCTCCTCCCAAAGCCAGTGTCTTTCACAATCCTCCCAATTCTCATGGCACAGACTCTCACTGTCTCTCAAGGCCTCAGGCTGATGTAAACTAATCATGTTGAAACACTCGCTGCTCTGCCAACAGAGTGTCTAGTGAGCCTATCAGCAAATACAGGAGAGGAACAGCTCACAGTTAGTAGTAACTGAAGATGCTGGAGTCAGAGTCATGGAGTAGGAGGAACACAGGAGGTCAGGCAGCATCAGAAGAGTCGACGTTTCGGGCTTGGACCCTTCATCAGGACTGAAACAGCTACTGATTTGAGGAATAGATTCTTGCAAGATCTCCTAGTTATATTTAAACTACATAAATAGCAGTTTTGTAGTAAAGAACTTGAGTTTTACTGAAAAAAAACTTTCAAAGCTTTTCCTCTTGTCCTCAAAACATCTTGCAAATTATCCTGATGAGTGCAATGTGAAAGGTTCTGACAAAAGCTTCATATTAGCTATATTTTGAACAGCTTGGCAGCCACGCAGGATTCCTCAGCAGAGCTTCTGTAGGACAAGCCTGGACTGTAACTGGGATTCACAGTTTCAGGATAAGGGAGTTGGTCGTTTAGGATTAAAATAAGGAGAAACGTTTTCACAGAGAATATGGTGAATCTTTGGAATTTCCTACACCAGAGAACTGTGGATATCCAGTTAAAGATATCCAAGAACAAGACTGATAATTTTTTTAGACATGAAGGAAATGAAGGGATATGGTGAAACAGCAGAAAACTGGAGGTGATGCAACAGAATCCTGGAACCTATAGCCTACTCCTGTGCCTAATTCTTATGTCACAAATGCTTCACTCATTAAATTATGTGGCTATATTAAAAATATTAAAATATTGCTTTGGCTTGGAGTTTTTTTAAAACTTCCCGCCAATTTACCCTGAAAACCTGTTTCACTTCTTCACAGCTACTTTGACTACAAATCTTGTCAGAATTCACTTCGCAATTAATAGATGATGTTTCTGAACGAAGGATCATTAAGAGAGCAGTCAACACACTATGTTAGGTAAAATATAGTATTTAAAGTTTTAGTGTATCTTTTACTGAAAAATGGAATTTAGGATAAAGCTGTACAATATTCACTTGAAATGTCATAACATTCAAGGCTATGTGCTTAGTGTTGGAAGGTGGGATAAGTGCAGATTTAGCGCAGCTTTGACAGTAGAGACTTGGTGGGCCAAAGGAACTCTTCCATACTGTGTGATTCTATCAGAATGAATATTTTATAAAAGTCTAAACTCTTCCAAATTAACAGAAGCAAGTGAATGACATAGTTCAGTAAATTTGATTAATTTTTAATTTCTTATGAACATACTGCACTGAAAACATGATAAAGAAAAGTAATGGCCAAGTTTCTAAGACAACAGCAACTGATCTTTCCCTTAGAATTTAAACTTAATCTTACTGGATCCTGGTGCAAGAGCATATTTCTCTGCAAATCAATAAAAAAGCTTTCTGGTAAATTCTGATCTTTTAATTATATGCATTTATTTAAAACCGAACAAGAACAGAAATATATGTAGTAAAGTCATAGATTTTTTTGCGGAAGTTAACAGCTTAGTTATCATTTTCCTTCACTGTGATTGGTTGTCCACGTGTTGTGCTTGCCTTTGGAGTTCATGCTAAAACAGCAAAATACCATAAATGATCAATTTTCAAGTTGTCACCTGGAAAATCTTGTGCTTCTTAATATTGCATGACAACTATAAACAAACATCTTTCAAAATGTACAGAAAGGGAGGGGAAAAAACACATTTTAGATTATTTCACAAATCAAGTTAAATATCACCTTACCCATCTTTAGTTTGGTCAGCTACGCCAGCTAGAAGCTGTACAGTCTTGGGGTTGTGTTGTGGATCTGTGTGCAATCCCAAGTATTTCTGCACAAAATCTGCTGGAGTCATGTAATGCTCCCCATCCTTGGTGACACTACAAAACTAGAAGGAATAGTAAAGATAAAGTCTATATAATATTTGATTTGTTGGAGGTATCTAGAATTGACTGCAACAACCTTTAATGCACATTACACCAAGAAAAGGACAGCTCAGTTATTGCCAAAGTTAAATGCAGTGTTACAAACACAAAATTTAAAAGATTACAAAGCTTTGGTAATATTGCTTTAAGGCAAAATAATGGAACGAAAAAAGACACATGAGCAGCTCTGAATTCTGTCAACAAGCTTGGATTGCTTAGTTGTTAAAGATTCAAGGAGCATTAGGTTGGCTTACTGGGAAGAAGGTGCAAGATACCGACACCTTAGACAATGGCAAGTGCATGCGTGTTGACTATGGGTGGACTCCAAGCCTTACAGGGAGATGTAAGAAATGCCATGTCTTAAAAGGTCAGAAATCACAAGACACCAGGTTATAGTCCAACAAAAACCTGTTGGACTATAGCCTGGTACTGTGTGACTTCTGACCTTGTCCTTCCCAGTCCAAAACCAGCACCTCAACATCATGTTTTTATAATAACTGGATTTTAACAGTAGATACCAGAGCAAGCCACTATACTGTCATTTTATAGCATTTTTCTGAGACAGCTCTGAAATTTAAGAGATTAGGAAGCCTGTCAAAACCTCAGAGAGAACGATAGCAAGGACGAGGAAGAGGCACTCTGGAACCAAAAGAGAAAATATTCTTTTTATTTCTCATTGCGCACAAGATGAGTGGGAGCTCATTCATTAGGATTTAAACAAGGCTGGAACATTCATCAATCTTTGTGCTGAGCAAGGAATTTCCAGGATAGACCTCACTAGAAGACTCAGTTTGTGGTTTAGAATTCATCTGTCAGAGAAATCAACCAGTAGGAGATTAGCTTTGACAGGTCGCTGAAGAATAACATGCCCATTTAAAGCACAAAGTACAGCATGGCAGGAAATTTTCAATTGTTCTTCAAGTTAAATGGGGGGACTTGTTCTGTGGTTTACAGTATAAGATGCCTAAACAATGGTGTTTACACTATTTTGTTTTTTAGTTTATCTAAGTAACTCCTAAAACATGAAACTATGTTATGTGATCCATCCAGTCAGTCATTGAAACTTGAAATACCTTTTCATGTTTCGATTTCTGTGGGAACTATGACAACTGCTTAAGAACATAAGATATACGAGGAACAATAGACCAGTTAATTCTATGCCATTCAATATGATCACGAACTTTTTCTTCAAAGCCATTTTCCTGCACTATTACCACATCCTTTGATTCTTTGGCATTCAAAAATCTCCATCTTGAATATTCTCAACCACCAAGCATCCATTGCTTTCTAAGGCAGCGAATGCCCAGGTCTGCAACTCTTTGCATAAAGAAAGGATCTGTTCGCTGACACCATTGCACGCACAATATTAAGCCAACTTTTGTACTTTACGTGACAGTTTATTAATGTGACCCAAAATCCTGGTTCATTAAAATAGTATTACTTGGAATTTGTAACTATTTATAAGCGATATCACAGCTAATGCACACGTTTCTTGACGTCAGCCATAAAGAAATCCCTGTTCCAATCCTAAATAGTCAACCTATTCTACATTCCTTGTAGAAAAATTCTTCCCAGTATCTATCCGATCAAGCACCTTAAGTATTTGAAATGTTTCAATTAACTTGCCCTTATTGTTCTCAATTCTTGACAAAATAAGCTAGGTAAAACCAAATTTCTTCAAGGAAAATTTCTTCATCCCAGTAATCAATCCAAAGAGCCTTTGCATGCATTCCTTCCAAGGCAAGTCCATCCATTCTTTACTAAGGGGACCAAAGCCACACAAAGTACTTCAGCTGCAATCTCACCAAGGCACTTGCAATTAAAGCAAGACTCTTTCATTCTTATAGTTCAACTGTTTTTTTTTAATTAAGGGTAATGTATCAATGTCTAGTCTAATTGCTTTTTATACCTGCACATTAACTATTTTTCCAAATTGTGTACATTTCCCATATTCTACATTTTTTTTCCAACCAAAATGTAAAACTTCACATTTCCTGCACTTTATCTGATCTGTCACATTGACTTAATCTGTTCTACATCTCTAAAAGTTTTTGCATACTCCTCATAACTTAAATTCCCACCAAGCGAGTAACCTGCAGATATTATACATGCAAAAAGACTTTGGACACTGGAAATCTGAAATTAAAGAGTGCTGGAAGAATTCAGCAGGTCTAGAAGTTGTGTGTGCAGAGAAAAACAGTTGAACACTTTGGAACTGAAGAGCAGACATACCGAGCCTCAAACAAAAAAAGCAAGTCTGCAGTTGCTGGAAATCAGAAAGAATATCAGAAACTGCTGGAAAAACTAGTAGGTCTGGCAAGGTCTGTGGAGAGAAAGCAGGGTTAAAGCAGGTCCAGTGACCCTTCTTCAGAACGGAACTTCAAACATTAACTCTGTTTTTCTCTCTCCACAGATGCTATCAAATCTGCTGAGTTTTTCCAGTACTTCCTCTAATTAAACCTGATAAATACACATGGTTGACTCTAAGAACCATTCATTTCTGAAATGCGTTAACAATGTAACAGGAAGAATGCACTGATAATCAAACTGTGCTGCTCCAACAGTGCATCAGTATCTGTGAAACAAAAACAGAAGTCGCTGGAGAAACTCAGCAGATCTTGTAGGAACTGTGGAGAGAAAGCAGAGCTAACGTTTTGAGTCCAATGATCCTTCTTCAGAACTTTGTCTGTGTCTCTCGTTTTCTCTCATTTAGGTGTGTACCCACCTCGATATACAAGTTGATAAAATCACTAAGTTGGTCAATTCATTCATTCTCTTTTGTACTATTACCCAGGCTTCTTTACTAAACTCAAAATTACCCCTTATTATAATCAAAAAATTTCTTAAATCAAGTGGTAAACACTGGTTAACTTCTAAAATATGATATGGAAAAATAATTAGATCCCTTTAATCCCAAACACACAGACTCTCATCATAAAAAATCAAAGTCTCCACAGATAAAGAAAAGATAAAATGAAAAAACACTCACTCAGTTACAGCACATGAACACTTAATTCCTTGATAAAAGCAATTAAATTCTTTTCAACCTAGATAATATCCAAACGATTCCATGTCTTCTAATATTTCACATAATCAAAATATGTATTCAATATCTTTATTAAAGAAATGTCCCCATGTTTCTTATTTTCACTATAGCGTTGATTTGTCGCTATTTCTGCAATGTCATTTAATATGAAGACAGATATCACGTATTTGTTATTTACTTATCCCCATTTTAACCGCTCCTATCACTGCTTGAAAGGGAACCACATTTATTTTCATTCTTTTTTTTTTGCACATCTATGGAAGTTTTTGCAAGTTATTTTATGTTTCTCCTCCACTGTTCTCTCCCTTTATCATTATGTCTTAGTCATACAATATTGCATTCTAAGATCCTTCCAGTTGTATTTCGTACTTTTATTTGCAACATTGCAAGCCCCTTTCAACCTAATTCAAAATTAAATTTCTTGATGACTATGGATAGACCACTTCCTCATGGAGTTTTTTTAAAAAAGTATATAGTTATTTCAAATTACAAATTGATTCTTTAAAGTTGGCTTTTTTTTTTAAATTTACAATACTGCCTTTTAGTATAACTTCCCAATCTACTACAGCCAATTCACCCTCATACCTACATAGTTTGTTTTGTTCAGATTTGAGATCCCTGAGTTTTAGGCTTGACTGAACCATTCTCAAATTCAATGCAAAACTGCTAAGAAAGCTACTTCAAGTACGTGCTGACAACATACATGCCTGAACTTTATTCAGCTAAAAGTTGAGTGTAACAGACTGAATATAGTAAGATGAGAGATAGTAGGAACTGCAGATGCTGGAGAATCTGAGATAACAAGGTGTAGAGCTGGATGAACACAGCAGGCCAAGCAGCATCAGAGGAGCAGGAAAGCGGACGTTTCAGGCCTAGACCCTTCTTCAGAAAAATGTATATGTTGTGTTTATAGTAATATGTTGTGTTCTACTGTAAGAACTGTAATACGTGGAAAACCATATATCATCATAAATAATGCATTTGTAGTACTTCAGTGGTCAAAAATGCTCTCAACCACATCTCTTGCGTTTTCCGCACCTCTGTCCTCTCATCCCCTCCCTGCAACAAAAACAAAGACAGAATTCCCCTTGTCCTCACATGTCACACCACTAACCTCCGTATTCAATGTATCATTCTCTGCCACTTCGACCACCTGCAAACCGACCCCACAACCAAAGATATAATTTCCCTCCCCACTCCTATCTGCCTACCATAGGGACTGTTCTCTCCGCGACTCCCTTGTCCGCTCCACACTCCCCACTAGCCCAACCATCCCCAGCACCTTTCCCTGCAAACGCAGGAAGTGCTGCACCTCCATCCAAAGCACCAAACAGACTTTTCACATCAGAAAGAGGTTCATCTGCACACCCATCAATGTGGTGTATTACATCCCCTACTCCTCTACATTGGTGAGACCAAGCGGAGACTTGGAGACTGCATTATAGAGCTTGCGCTCTTTTCGCAACAAACAACACCTTACAGATACGAACTATTTCAACTCCCTCTCCCACGGCGACAATTCCATCCTGGGCCTCCTCCAGTGTAACAATGACACCACCCGAAAACTGGAGGAGCAGCACCTCATATTCCGCCTTGGGACCCTACAACCCAATGGTCTCAGTGTGGACTTTACCAGTTTCAAAATCTCCCCATCCCCGGCCTCATTCCATGACCAAATCTCCCTCTCATCCCACCTCATTGACCCAACACAACCTGTCCATCTTCTCTTCCACCTCACTGACCAATCCCCACCACTGCCTGCATGCACTCAACAATCACCATCCCACCTACCTTCCCCAGTCCCACCCCTCCTCTCTATTTATTTCCCAGCTCCCTTCCCACTCCCCCATTTGTGAAGATGGGTCCCAACCTGAAACATTAACTTTCCTGCTCCTCTGATGCTGCCTGGCCTGCTGT